AAACTTCGCGTTGTATTCAATGCGAGTCACAAGACGACTAATGGGCTATCTTTAAATGATATTGTTTACACTGGACCGAAGTTACAGGCTGATTTGGTTGACATTATTACTGGATTTCGGGTCCATAATATAGTTTTTACATGTGACATATCTAAGATGTACAGGCAAATCTTGATAAGGCCTGAGGATCGAGTGTGGCAACACGTACTATGGCGTGAATCCCCTTCCTTGTCTGTTCAAGAATTTGAACTTCGTACGGTCACATACGGAGTCAAAAGTTCGCCGTACTTAGCGATACGAACATTACATCAGTTAGCTGCAGATCACGGTGATCAGTTTCCTCATGCAGCTGAAGCTCTTCGGCATCATACTTACATGGACGATATTACTACAGGTGCTTCCTCAGTCGAAGCAGCCTCTCAGCTTAAAGAAGATTTAATCAATCTTCTTAATTGTGCTCAGCTAGATTTGCGTAAGTGGAGCAGTAACAGCCCTTTATTTCTTCGATCGTTACCCATGGAACATTGTCAGTGTCCGAAGACATTTTCTGATGATAGTTCAATAACGCTTAAGGTTTTAGGAGTTCAATGGGATCCTGCGGAAGACTATTTCACTTACTCCGTCTCTCCTGTGAATGTGGAGTTTACGAAACGTTCAATCCTGTCCCACGTTGCTCGTATTTATGATCCGTTGGGTTGGCTTTCACCTTTTATTCTTTTAGCCAAACTACTTCTTCAAAACTTATGGCGTATTGGATTGTCTTGGGATGAAATCATTCCCGCCAATCTGTGTGACGATTGGGTTTCATTTGTGTCTGACTTGTCTAATATAAAATCGATAAAAATCCCTCGTAAAACCGTGATTGATTTAACAGCTACACACCAGCTGATTGGGTTTTGCGATGGATCAACCAAAGCATATGGGTGCTGTGTCTATCTCCGATCAAGTATCGATGATCAAAAACAAGTTTCTCTTTTGATTTCTAAATCTAAAGTGGCTCCGATTAAGCCTCTAACAGTTAATCGTTTGGAGTTGTGCGGTGCGCTCTTGTTATCACGTACTCTCAAACACATGCAAACTTTACTTATTTCGAAAATAAATATATCTCATATTGTTGCCTACACTGATAGCTCAACTGTATTAGCTTGGATCAATACAGAGCCATACAAATTGAAACCTTTTGTTGCGCATCGAGTAGTTAAAATAACTGACGCAGTTGAACCTTCTACCTGGAGGCATGTCTCGACTCAGGACAATCCTGCTGACTTTCCTAGCCGAGGTCTCTCGTGTGCAGAATTGGTCAATTGTAAGCGATGGTGGTCAGGACCAGATTGGATGCTTAGTAGTCCAGATCACTGGCCAGCTCAAATTCGGTGTAAGTCCCAGGATGAGTTGCCAGAGTTGAGAACACGCACTCTGATTGCTCAATCTCGGGAATCTGATAAGGACCTTATGAAGGTGTTATTAAATCGGTATTCATCCTTGTCGCGACTACAGCGAATATTGGCATGGGTCTTTCGCTTCATTTCTAATTCGCGCAAAGAACCAAGCCAACGCGAGAAAGGTCACTTGACTACGAATGAGGTAAAGTGCTCTCTACTTAGCCTTATTAAATATGTCCAACGGGGCAGCTTCAATCAAGAGATGTCTAAATTAAAATCGCAGAAGCCTCTACCTAAATACTTACAAAAGTTGTCTCCGTTTATTGATAACCTAGGACTCATGCGAGTGGGTGGACGACTTACCAATTTCAACTTACCTGAGCACACAAAACATCCATATTTGTTACCGAAACAATCTATTTTATCTCAATTAATTATTAGCTATTATCATAAACGGTATTTGCACTGTGGACCTCGCACGTTACAATCACTAATTGTTCGCAAGTTCTGGATTTTAGGAATTCGAAATCTTATTCGTTCTGTTTTAACAAAGTGTGTGACTTGCTTTCGGGTTAAACCTATACCCTATCAGCCGTCTATGGGCAACCTGCCACCTTGTAGATCTCAACAAGGTTACTGTTTTCAACAGGTAGGGATTGATTTTGGCGGTCCTTTTCTTATAAAAGAAAACAGACGACGTAACGCACGGGTCAGTAAGGCTTACATATGCTTGTTCATTTGTTTATCTGTAAAAGCAGTTCATTTAGAACTCGTATCTGAACTGTCTACAGAAGCGTTTCTAGCCGCCCTAGACAGATTCGTGTCTCGACGTGGAATATGTCAACATATTGTGACAGATTGTGGCACTAACTTTGTAGGCGCTAAACGATATCTTGAGGAAATGGTTAAATTATTGATAGATAAAAAACAGGATATTTCTGATCAATTAACGTCTCGTGGAATCTCGTGGAAATTAAATCCACCTTCAGCACCTCACTTTGGAGGCATTTTTGAAAGTGGTATAAAATCTACTAAATATTATCTCAAGAGGGTCATAGGCTCACAAGTCCTGACGTTTGAAGAACTAACTACAGTTTTAACTAAAGTTGAAGCGATGCTGAACTCAAGACCGATTTGTCAGTTATCGTCTGATCCTGGCGAAGTTGATGTTCTCACGGCCGGTCATTTTATTATAGGACGTCCTTTAGTAGCTCTACCAGAACCGTCCGTTGAAGATATGAATCCTAGAACACGCTGGCAGTTACTTCAAAAGCTTTCTCAAAGTTTTTGGCGTATTTGGCAAAGTGATTATTTACATACGCTTCAACAAAAGGTTAAGTGGTTTAAGGATGATCACAAACATCCTAATATTGGTCAACTCGTTTCAATCATTGAACCTAATCTACCACCTAACGAATGGCGCCTAGGTCGAGTAGTCCAAATCCACCCCGGAAAGGACAATATTATCCGGGTTGTGACCTTAAAGACCAAAAGAGGCCTACTTACAAGACCAGTAGTCAAAGTCTGCCCTCTTCCTCTTGATTGAATCTTATTTTTATTGTTTTATTAAGCTAGATTGTAAGTTCTAATTTTAAAATTAAATTAACTAAGTTTGATTTTCTTTTGTAGTTTAGTTAAGGTTATCAATGCACAACTTAGCTCCGATATCTATTTAGTTTATATTAATTTATATTCTATGAGCAACTGGGGACCTGGAGAGCTGCCGGGTCGATGGTTGTCTTGTGAAATCCCTAGGTGATTTCAGGTGGGAGGGAATGTTGTGGCTTCGGAACAGTCCCGATATAACATCCTTTTCCTAAGTGTTTCCTATCCTCCCGCCTCCCCCGTATACGCACTGCTCAGAATGGTGCGCCACCTATCGTCGAGAAAAAAAGAAGCAAGATGGCCGCGCACGCATAAAACGTGTTCGTTACCGCTTGTTTAAAAATAACCAATAAATAAGTTGTAAGACTATCGTGCAATTGCTCGTGTCCATATACATTCGAAGTGCAGTGTGGTATCTGTGTATACACGAGAACTTCAGCCTAAATATACAGACTTCACCATAACAACGATGAGTGCTCCAGTCTTGTGAGTATCCTTACCTTATCTACCCAGTTCTAAAGCTATTTTCGTTTACTTCCCGGTTGGGATCATCGGGTTAGCCAGCCCTTGGTCTGGTTGTTCTCTGGTTCCCAAAACCACCCACGAAACACATTGCGAAACATTCAAGCCATAACAACGACATTTGAATAATGAGCTAGTTGTACTGAAAGTGATTGAATAAATTTATTTTTAATCTAGTTATAATTTTAAATTTTTATAACTGTGGCTCTAGAAATAAGCAGTAACTACAAATACGAAGAAACTGAAAAATCTTGTGATTTAATTATTCGTTTTTAATTTATTCTGGTATTATTCAAACCAAACTGTAAATGATTACCAACTCTAAATAATCGATATCGATTTTTGAAGTGAAAACTTCTTTGGCGGCGTTGTACACTTTTTTTGTAATGGGTAAAATATTATAAATGTTAAACTCGCGCCAGGACACGTGACCCTGATGGAAAATTCGTAAGACGGACGGCGTAGGAGAGGAAGTATACCCCTCTCTTTCTACAGCGCGGCGAAAATGGGTGCGTTTGGCAGAAAAAAGCGCTAGCAAGCGGTTGTAAGCAAAATGGCGATCGTAAGCTGTCAAATCGTAAGTAGCTATTTTCCTCTAGGACACGAAGTTAGTTTTAACCGGGGAACCTAACCTAATTTAAATATGTGTTTGTAAAGTATTCATATTAAAAACTTACCAATCATGAATTTTTAATAACATGTGTATGTCTATTCATGTCATTATATTAGTTAAAACTAATATTGCACAAAAAAAACTTATAAACTCTACTTCAAAACAAACAAATTAAATAAGCAAAATGGCGGATTGTGTCAGCGCTACTGAAGTAGCAATCGTGTCCTGGCCGAAAACTATTTCAGCGCTTGTAAGCGCTTGCTAGCGCTTTTTTCTGCCAAACGCACCCAATGTATGCCTGCGCCTGCTGTTTCGTTTAGGCGGCGCAGGGCGCTTGTGCGAATGTAATATAAATTGTCATGTTTGTGTACGATAGCGCAATAAATACATATTGTATTCTACTACCACATAAATGATAGTACTTTTATACTGATAATTCGTGCAGAATTATTCCCTAACCATTCCAAAATATCAAAAATGCACAACGTTAATATTCAAGTTTTCACTTCTGCCGGCACTCCCGGAGTGCAACCCGTCGTTTTTTTTAATAATCGAATATTGTACGCTCCCATTTTTTGGTTGGCATGATTGATGCAATAAGTCTGATAGCTGTCAAATGTATTTCTTAGATTTGGTTGACTATAGTCGTTATTAGGAATACTCAGCAACCCTAGATCAGCTAGATCTTCTGATTTATTTCCCTCTGTCGCTTGTTGTGACACGCATGATATGGGCTAGTGAATACTTTTGTTCCGTTACTACACTGTTATTCGATGTGTACCATTACAAAGACTTGTAGGGAGTTTATTAGAACGGCGTGCTGCGTGTTTCATATAGCATGGTGTCGGGCTGGTGTGTACAGTGTGCGGTGTGTGCAGGCGGTGTCGATCCTGGTGTCGTGCGCGGTGTACGGGCAGGCGTGCTGCTCGTTACATATTACATGGTGTCGAGCTGGTGTGTACAGTGTGCGGTGTGTGCAGGCGGTGTCGATCCTGGTGTCGTGCGCGGTGTACGGGCACGGCGTGTCGTGGCGAGGTGCGGGCGGCGTGCTGCTGGTGTTCGCGGCGGCCGCGCTGCGTATCTACTGCCGCGAGCGCACGCGCCGGCGCGCGCAACTCGTACGTAGCCACACTCACCCTTATTTTACGAACGCTTAAGGGTTATCTAGAAGAAATCGGTTCCAAAGCGATAACACTTAATATACCTTCTATATAATTTATTAAAGATATAGTGATTGATTGATTTGGCAGTGACTTATTAGGCTGCAGGCTTTATCTTCTTTACTTTACTGTTCATATAGTTCACAGAATATAATTATTTCGCTTTTAGAAACCTAAACTGCTTATGCACAAAGTGTTTTCTTTGTGTTTTTTTATATACACTAGCGTTTTTTTTTATAACGAAAGCAGTTTTAAACTCGGAACAATTATTCATAGTCCATACAAACACTTATTCAATGCGTAATTCCAACTCTCTCCTCGAAGTCGCTATTCATTTCATAAGAATTTATAAAACACTATATATTTTGAACTTAATTTCTTTCTACTAAAATAAACCAGTTAATAAACCAAGTTAATCGGGTTACTCTTAGAATCCTCCTCAGAACAATTACAATTGTGATAGCATCGTCATCGCATCGCAATAGCGTTAACAAACTGATCACCAACGGAAACATAAATCTTTTACCGCTACAGCCTGTTGAGAGCCACTACTGAACACAGGAGTCTCCCATGACTTACATCATATCCCCCATATTTGCTATAGTTGCCATCCTTGGCAACAGGTTAACAACCGCAATTTTTTATTCTTAGTCGTTATCAGGAGGGCCCTGCCGCCCATCTGATTTGTTTCCCTCTGTCGTCTCTTACGACACCCATTTGCGAGCTGCTGTGCTGCACAATCTTAGAAGTTGATAAAATTAATAAAGACTGGAACTGTTATTTAATTTATTCAGATATTATTGATAGTGACTAGGTACAATGCGTGACGGCGAATGATTGCGTACTGACTTGATGAGAATGAATAATGATACAATAAGGTAAAAATAAGGGGGAGGACACGGCAATCCTCGAGTCCGGCAACTTGTTCTATCACCGTTAGGGCGACCATCTGTCCCAAGGAGTTGTCGGATTTATCGTCCACAAGTCTCTCATCAACAACGTTGTAAAGATTGGGAGTGTGTCGACGAGGGTCGCTTACCTGATATTCAGAATCAACAAACGGTATTCGCTGAAGGTCATACAGGTATACGCACCAACCTCGGCACATATCGATGAGGAGGTGGAGGAAATGTATGAGGATATTTCCAGAGCCAGACATTCCTCCAAAACCCACTACACGGTATTGATGGGAGACTTCAACGCAAAACTAGGCACAAGAGAAAGCGGTGACCTAAAGGTAGGGAAATTTGGAGTAGGGCAACGGAACCGAAGGTGCCAGCAGCTACCCGACTTTATGGAGAAAGAGGGACTCTTTATGATGAACTCTTTCTTCCAGAAGCGGCCCCACAGGAAATGGACCTGGTCGAGCCCCGACGGTTCGACAAAAAATTAGATTGACTTCATTATGACGACCAGACACCAACTGTTCAGTGATGTCTCAGTGATCGCAAGGGTGAAAACTGGCAGCGATCACCGAATGGTTAGAGGCACACTGAACCTAAACGTTAAGTTGGAGAGGTCTCGTCTAATGAAGTCAACGCTTCGTCCCCCTCGTGCTCTAATCAAGAATCCCGAAACCTTTCAGCTAGAGTTACGTAACCGCTTTCAGTGCCTAGAAGATTGCAATGCAGTGGACGATATGAATGACAAACTCGTGGAAACTGTCCATACGGTCGGAGCTAAGTTCTGCAAGACCCGCCGCAGAAGAACACAAAAACTCTCTGATCACACTCTTAATCTCATGGTTGTTAGACGGGAGATGAGGCTGCAATCGTCAACAGATTTGACAGCATACAGGCAACTGAACAGACAGATCTCCAAATGTATGCGGCGAGACTTACGCAACTTTAATACTGCTCGTATTAAAGAAGCGATCGAGCGGAACCGGGGTTCCAAAGACTTTGCCAGAGAATTGTCTGCCAGAAAGAGCCAACTGTCAAAGCTGAAGACTGAGTGTGGCAACATCGTTTCCGCGACACCTGAGATTCTGAGTGAGATTGAGAGGTTCTATGGGCAGCTGTACACATCATCGTTGAAGCCACACGCAAGTGTGAGTAACGATCCAAGAGCAAGTCTTATCCGACACTATTCCGATGATATCCCGGACGTCAGTCTGAGCGAGATTAGAATGGCTCTCCACCACCTTAAAAACGGCAAGGCCCCGGGCGGGGATGGAATTACAGCGGAGCTTCTGAAAGCGGGTGGAAAACCGGTACTTGAAGTCCTTCAGAAGCTCTTCAATTCCGTCCTCCATGGTGGTACTACTCCGGAGGCGTGGAGCAGAAGCGCGGTGGTCTTGTTCTTTAAGAAAGGCGACAACGCTCTATTGAAGAATTACAGACCGATTTCCCTTCTGAGCCGCGTCTATATGCTATTTTCGAGAGTCATTACGAATCGTCTCGCACGCAGGCTCGACGACTTCTAGCCTCCCGAACAAGTCGGTTTCCGAAAAGGCTTCAGTACCACAGACCACATACATACCCTGCGGCAGATTGTACAGTAGACCGAAGAGTACTATCTGCCACTTTGCCTGGCATATGTGGACTATGAGAAAGCCTTTGATTCCGTCGAAATTTGGGCGGTGCTACAGTCCCTTCAGCGGTGCTAAGTTGACTGTCGGTATATCGAAGTGCTGAAGTGTTTGTACAGTAGGGCTACGATGGCTATCCGAGTACAGAACCAGAGCTCGAAACCTATCCAACTGCAGAGAGGTGTAAGACAGGGTGATGTTATATACCCGAAACTCTTCACCGCTGCGTTGGAAGACGTTTTCAAGGTACTGGACTGGAAAGGATACGGTATTAACATCAATGGCGAGTACATCACTCACCTTCGATTTGCCGACGATATAGTCCTTATGGTAGAATCGCTGGAGGACCTTAGCACTATGCTCAATGACCTCAATGGTGTCTAGGTAAGATGAACATGGACAAAACAAAGATCATGTTTAATGTCCATGTCACACCTATGCCGGTAGTTGTTAGGAGCACTATGCTCGAAGTTGTTGACGAGTACGTTTACATGGGACAAATAGTCCGACTAGGTAAATCCAACTTCGACCGAGAGGTAAATCGACGGATTCAACTCTGCTGGGCAGCGTTCGGGAAATTACGACACATCTTCTCGTCAGGTATACCTCAATCTCTGAAAAATAAAGTGTATAACCAGTGCGTGTTGCCAGTGATGACTTACGGATCTGAGACGTGGCCTGCTGGCCGTATGAGGACGCTCAAGGTCGCTCAGCGAGCTGTGGAGAGGGCTATGCTCGGAGTTTCTCTGCGTGATAGACTCAGAAATGAGGATATCCGCAGTAAAACCAGAGTGACCGACATAGCCCAACGGATTAGTAAGCTGAAGTGGCAATGGGTCGGCCATATAGCTCGAAGAACCGACAACCGATGGGGAAGAAAGGTTCTCGAGTGGCAGCCTCGTACCGGTAGGCGTAGTGTAGGGCGACCCCCCACTAGATGGAGTGACGACCTGGTAAGACATGCAGGAAGTCGATGGATGCAGGTGGCTCAGGACCGTGCTTTGTGGCGTTACTTGGGGGAGGCCTATGACGTATAGACTAACGACTATAGAATAGTATAGACGAACGACTGCATCTACAGTATGTCCGGTAGTTAAATGATAACCTTGAAATGGCTTACAGCAGAACTAACGGTTGTTCAAAAATAATAAAAAATATATCCTAAGTAGTACATGTACCCAAGACATCTTGTTTGCCCCTCTTCTATATATATAAAAAAACATGATAATTTTTTTAAATACTAATATGTTTTCACGAATTTTAAACTCGTGTCTACCACAACCGCAAATGAAATAATTTCGTCGATTTGTTCTTGATCACATACTTTACGTTTGTGACGATAAAAAGGTAGGAAATATTATTTTATACCATTTATTGCAATACCAGTTATTGCAATTTGTTTAAAAAAGTTGGAAATTGATTTTTTTTTAATTTTTAATATCTTTTTCAGTTCTTTATAAAAATATTTTTCTTGGCAATCTTTAAACTTGAGTGACCAATTATTTTATGTAATTGTACTATATTATATATATATATATATATATATATATATGCGTATTCCTCATTGGAAAATGATTGCCTTGCATGATCTCCGTGTCTCGGTGGTTCCGCCGCCATAAAACTTTGAAACTCAACTTCTTTAAGTGTAACAGGGAGGGATATGCGCGCGTGTGTACGATGCCTGTAATACTGATGACTGATTGAACAGTTTCTTCTTGTTTAACTTGTTTCTAATTTCACACTAAATGTAAACAATAGCGTAAGTTCAAACGCACAATCTTTTTACGAGCATTCCCGCAGCTGTGATAAGGTTCCGAGAAGCGATTGTTTGGGATTACCCAAAACATTGCTACTCGGAACTTGTCTACCTGGCCCCTTTTTTTCAAGTTTTTTCTGTACTATTTTTACTTACATACTTTAAGTTACAAGCTAAATTGATACTTCGTTGGGTAGCTAGATAAGTAGGGATGTTTTTTACATGATTTGCACAATTGGCCACATACAATTATTTTTCACAAAATCATTTTTATTTTTAATTACTTATGTTCTTTTTGGAAAAAGTTGTACTTTTAGTAGCGTTACTTCGAAAATGATGAGACATTTTGCACACTGTGGTATTGATAAATAAGTATCCAGGTTTTCATTAAGTAAAAATAATTAAATGAAAATAATACAGCTGTAAGTTTTTTTTAGAAATTTTTGACACCAGACTTTTGGGATTTTTGAAAAAAATAATTAAATCTAAATATCTCGAAATTGGTCCACATTTGCATAATGCATTTTATGGTTCATTTGATAGGTTATGACCCCAACTATCACGCCTTGGCGGGAATACGTCGAGTTACCAGTAACCCTGTATATATATATATATGTTATTCTGCGATATATGCCCAAATTTGCAGAGAAGGTTCAGAATAGGTAATATAAGTGAATGGTGGAAAAAACTCAATCATTTTGTTCTTTTATCTTTTAAATTCAATATGTGTACTATTTTACTACGCACGCTCTCATTCGTTGGCGAGTGTTGAATTCGGAACAGTCGTTGGCGCTTGTAGCTCGCTCTCGGTTACAGATTTAGGTATCTAATAATTGTTTTGACTAGATTAAGACAAGCGCATTTTCCCACCCTTCCCCCTTTTTATAGAATAAGGGTGACAAACGAGCACACACTCCGCCTGATGGTAAGTGGATGCTGTAGCCCATAGACATTTTACATTATCTTACATTTATCCTCTATTAAGAATCAAAACGCAGTTGCGTTGTTCCGCCTGAGGACTATGATGGAATTCCTCTTTTCCAGTAAAACAGGGTCTCCGGATTTCTACACTCACCATACGAAACACAGCAGTATTAAGCTGCTATTTTACGCTGGTATTCTGTGAGAGCGTGGTCCATCTTCGGTCGAGTCGACCCAGGTGTGCTACAACCATAATATAGCTGCAGCGTAGCTCTACCACGTAGAGCCTTCCCTTCAGTAAGCCGTCACACCGCTAGGTACTTTCCGACCCGGACCATTTAAAGACACATTTAAAAAAATAATTTTAATGAAAAAAAAATTAAATTGCAATTGTATGTGGCTTTATTATCTCTGCATTGGCCGAGGAGTAAGAGGATTGTCAAGGACCCCGCATTACCGATACTCGTATGAGTTAGAGGAAATAAAACCACATACAAATGGCAAATTAATTTTTTTCTCAATAAAAAAAAGTGTTTTTTTTTTTGAAAAAAAAATATTTCTATATGCTTGGATACTGATTCTGATAACACACTTAACGGGAACCACAGGGTTTTTGTTACATATTGTATAATATGAAGCTTCTGTGTGAATACCTATTTTCTTAAAGTTCTCTCGAAGGGATTCGCGCGGATTTTAATTATAAATTTCATGTATTTTCTCAATATTTTCCGCTTTACCCTACAGCAAGATTCTATAAGCCATAATACTATGAAATTTAGCAAAATATACAATATTTGCAGTTTCAATTTAAGTTACAATAAATAGACATGTTATATTAATTTAAGTTACAATATAATCACATGTTGTTTTATACTATATAATATTGTATTGTTATTTTGTTCCTTAAATTTTTCACATTCATCAGGTGACAACCCTATCAAAATAGGTAAACACATAGAATACTATAATACACAATAGAACGTCTGTGAACCTTATTTTGTACGACGATAGGCGTCGCCTTGATTTGATTCAGACAGTCGCCCTGGAATATACCCCTTCTTATCCTTATGCGGCTTTCCGCAGCCGTCTTCCGCTCGCCTAGATGACAGAGGATCGTACTCCACTGCCCCATACACTGCTCGAGGACCCTCTTTAGCTATGTATGGGGCACCGAGTCAAATGCCTTTCTGTAATCTATCCAGGCGGCGGAGAAGTTCCGACGGTTGCGTTTCACCACTTTGCCAATGACCGCGTCAATGAGGAGTGGTTCCTTGGTTCCACGACCGCCGCCCCGACATCCATTTTGAGCGCGCGACATCACCTGATTTGAGTCCAGGTGACGAGTGATTCTCGCGCTCAAAATGGATGTTAGTGTCTTGTATATGGTCGGTAGACACGTGATGGGGCGGCATTTGCTCGGGTCTGTGGTACCCTGATCTTTAGGAACCAAATGAGTGATCCTAGTAGTGAAGAGGCGCGGGAGCGACTTCTGGTTGAGAGCCTCTTGAAACTGTCGAGCGAGCACAGCATGACCCCCCATGAACCCCTTCAGCCAGTAGTGATGCAGCCCGTCAAGCCCCGGACTTTTTCAGTTCGGGGCCCTACGGACCGCCTCAGCTACGTCATCCGGCGTTATGATGACGGGGTCCATGGGCGTAATACCCACACACTGACTCGCCACAACTTCCGTCCAAGGGCCCTCGTTGTGTTTTACGGGCTCTGAGCACAGGCTGCGCCAGAATGCGACCGTGTCGGCCTGATTCGGTACTAGGCCCGTTCACTTACATTGGTGCTCGATTTAGGCATCTTCTGATCACTCTGGAAGAGACGATTCTGGTTGAACCGTGTCGACCTCTCGGTATATCGCCGAATCCGCTTTCCCCAAGCAGCGATTCTCTGCTTCAGGTCGTCTATGCGCTCCGTCAGTTTTTGCATTATATCCGGCTGGGACAAAGTAACATTTGTCAAAGCAAACGCCATCCTGATGGTGCGCACAATCCTTGACCAGGTATTGCCTGACCTGAAGCATATCAGTCTGCCGATGAGGGCCCTAGCCTTTGCGATACGTTCTTCAATTCTTGTTCTCCAGGCTGGGATAGCACTACTTTGTCCAGTAGTGCGTCCAGCCGTGGAAAGTTTGGCGCGTATAATACGTCAGACTGCCAGTGCGGCGCCAAAGAGAATTGAGTCCGTCTCGCAAAGGTCCCGGCTGGCTTCCAAATAGGCCAGCATTGGGTTCAAAGCCCTCACGATAGCCCGATTCCGCTTGCTGAGGGCTATGCGGGGAAGTCGCGGTCGATTTTCGAGAGGCGTACTGCGCGTTTCCAAAATCGCCTCATCCAATGTACTCCTCATTTGCTCCAGTTCCAGTTCCTGGGCGACTGTTTCATCATCGTTTGAATCAACCAAAACTGGGGTATTCACGGCGGCATCCACGTTTGCCGGTTGCTCTGCAAGTTGTGGCGCCGCATCCTCAGCCGTAGCATTTTCATCCGATGAAGGAACAGCCTCACGTCGTAGCCGTTCGAGTTCGGTGACATCAAATGTATTTGAGCGCAAGATATACCGAACTCGGTCTGCCAGGTTTTGCTCGGTGTTATTATTTCTATTATTAGATTTTTATTTTTTCGAGTTGCATAAATTATATGAATCATTGATTAAACAAGTCTATTTTTTTATTTTCTGTGAATTCCACTGCGGCGAAGTTGCGAGTATGTTTAGGAAATTTCGGCGTGTACAGTGGTTACTACTAGAACCATTGAAAATAATTTTAAAAGAAATTGGCTTCCGATACAAAAAATTGACATGCGCAAAATAATTGTTTAGAGACATGAATGCAAAAAATAAAATTTTTACGAGAAATTAAAAATAGGACCAATTAGTAAAACTTTATATTCATGGCCGAAACATGGCTAAACACCAACTACACTGTGCCGCGGACATGGACAGATGACAAGTGTCCGTGGGAAAAGGTGGACGCCTCATAGTTTGCCATGTGGGATCCGCCGGAGGAGGATTTGTAGGAAATACGACTACTGCACAAGCAATCACTGGGCCAAAGTGATAGAGAAAACAAAGAAAATTGTTATGAACAACTATGAAGGAGACGTTCATTTTGAATGCATTACAGAAAATCAAGTAATAATTAATGTGAACAGTGATGATGAGGATGACAGATAAACTAGTGTAGTGAAAGTGATTAAATATTTTTTTAATCAAGTACTGTCTTTTAATATTTTATTATTATAATAATTATTTATTTATTTCGTAATTTATATAACTTCTCTAGAAATAAGCAGTAAGCAATAAATATGAAGAAAGTTTCTGTTTTGAGTAATCTGTTTCCAATTTATTCTGGTATTAATCTAAATAAAACTAAATTATTAACAACTTTTTAGAATCGATATCGATTTCTCTTAAGAATCGAATATTTATCAGTTGGAATGCCTAGTCCAATAAATATGACAGCTGTCAAAAGGTATTTCTGTGATTTGGAGGAGTATAGACTATAAATTTATTTAAGTTACTATCCTTGTTTAAGCCTTCTATCATGTCTATTTATTTGTTGCATATAATTTTAGATTCGAAGAACGCCGTGAATCAATATCATAGAAAAGCAGATTTTACCGGTAAGAAGAACCGAAGGCTGTCCGGAACTGCCACCTGTCCTCGCATCAAACGCAGTCACAAAGTGAGGCTCAACGTTACTCTTTCATGCGAAGGTTCTGTTTAGATTAGGCGGAGAACTGCTCGATTTTCCCTCAAATAGTTAAGTCGTCCTTATGTAATTGAAATAAAGCTGAAAATATTATGTAAGAGCTTGCATACTATTTACAGATTTTACTTGCAGCTACAAAATGTTCGAGCAGTTTTGCATCTACTCATAACTAACACTAATTATAAGACAACATGAGATTGTGACAATTAAGAATTTATTACGCATATTACCAGTTAAATGAAGTTCTACTGTTTACAATAGATGGAAGTTTTTACATCCGCGAAAGCCGATATGGATGCGTATCGCAACTATATACACTATATAGTTAGTTTAAGTTTTTTAGTTAAATTAAATGTATGGTATTTTTATATTATTATTTATTTAATTGTCAAATTAACAAACGCATTAATCGTGCAAAGATCGTGTTTAGTTGTTATGGCAAAACAAATAATTCTTATTATTTGGTAAAATAGGTGACAATAGATATTATTGTCAGTAGATAATTTTGAAAGTTGATTTATATTGACGTCTGGCTATTTTTACTGGGGTATTAATATGGTTTTATCGTCTATTTGGGCATTATAATTTTGTTTTTTAATATTGACTCATTAATTGTGTAGTCTGGATATTAATAGTAATTAGGATAAAAGTATTTGATCGTGGAATACATTTGTATGAACAATTTTACTCTTGTAAACTCTAACTTCCATAGTGTTTGGACATTTCATACATTTTATTACGTCATTTTTGTCAAATTCTCTGCTCATCGATTAGTTTCGTATTATAAATCGAATATTGTAGGAAATGTAAATACATATGTTGCATTGTTGTGCCTCGTCGGCCTGTGCCAGCTGCAGCTGGACGCAGACCTCTCCTATGTAGGGATAATTTGCCCTATAAGTACAACGCTTGGCAGACAGACAAACTTAGTACCTACTAGACATCTTGCAGTTTTTCCGCTGCTTTCTGTCACTCGTTTGATTTCTTTACGCCTGGCGTTAATACGATACCGCCAACTATCGAAAACCGTAATTTTTTTTGACATTTCCCCAAAGATTTCTTTGTATACTACTAGATCGTAAATTCAGAACAGAATCTGTGTCACCGCTGTGAATTACATGGGCTTTGTCTGGTAGGTGGCACAGTGAATATGCCACGCAGTTGTATTTTCCACGCAATATAAAAACAAGAGAAGGATGGAGCGAATAGAGCAAACAGGTTAATGCTTGAATGATATATGCGAAAATATGACATTTTGTGCAATATTGGAGTGTAAAAGCGAAAATAAAATGAAAAATATTTCGTACCAAAGACTCGTGTAATTTTTTCTTTGCATGGAAACTAGACTAAACATGGACAAAATATTAAATTGCCTTTATTATTATAAGTAATATTCATCCTTATTTCGTAGTTCTATGTTTTATATTATGTTAATACATTTTGAATAAAAACTGCTGCGATAGTGTTGTGACTACGCTGTTTTAAAATTTCGATACTTAAAATTTTATCTCAATCCTGTTTATTCACTAACAAATTAAAGAAAATGTGCAAATACTGTCCATGAAATGTCTATGGAAATATACGAAATTATAGTGTGATGTCCAATGAATGTACATTTGTTAGGGTTGTTAACTAAGCCAGAGAAGTTTAGTATTACTCATGATTTTTAGAAAAAATATTAAAGCAGTAGGTACAGTAATTTTTAAAGAAATATGTATTATGTCAATGAAAATAAACAATTGCTAAATTACTTTTTATTATTATTTGTCATGTTTCCATTTCAAAAATGATAATTTAGCTTACTGTTTATAAATTTACATTGAATACAACTAATTATATGCCGACTATATGAATTACGAGAATATACGTACCATGAACATTAAGGCAAATTTCAATAATTTTGCTATTATTACTCATTTTTACATATTTTCTTATACTTTTTATATTGGCTGAATATCGAAAAGTCAGACCACGTTCAGGCGGAGTAACTACATCACTAAGATCATTCACGTAGTAGCACAGAATAAATAATGTGTAGTACAAGCTAGGCAAGGCAAAGTGGACGTGAATTTATTATTCTGATATCTAGCGTCACGTAGCATTTTTTTTCGTCAAGCTTAGAAGCTTTTTGGATTAAGAGAATGATATCTAAGAAAGAAAGAGAGTAGGAATTTGTGGCGCGTTATCAAATAAACGCGGTATTAATCCGAAATAATTAAGAAGCTAAATTTGCTCGTTAATTCCAGAATCTTCGTTGATGAAAAGGAATATGATCTTTATTTTTAAGAACTTATGGTTCGTACTCAAGTGAATGAGTAACATTAGGCCTTTATTTTTTATTTTTTAACAGCCAATCACGCGAAAATTGTTGATATATTATTACGTGGTAGAGCTACGTTGCATTTATATTATAGTTGTTGCACGAGTGGGTCGGCTCGACAGGGGAAAGGACCACGTTCTCACAATACCAGCGAAAAATAGCAGCTTAATACTGCTGTTTTTCGTACAGTGAGTGTAGAGATCCGGAGACCGGTTTTAACTGGAAACGAGGCATTCCCTCTTAGTCCTCAAGGGTGACAACGTATATGCGTTTTGATCCTTAATCTAGGATAAATGTATATAGATGTCTATGGGCCGCAGCATCCACTCGCCATCAGGTGGACTGCGTGCTCGTTTGTCACTCTTATTCTATAAAAAAAACTCTGGTACACAATTGTCTGTACACATTTCTTGCGAATGTGAGTTTAGCGACAGTGGTTCTGATACAAATTATGCGTTTTGCTACTTCCTCTTGTTTTTATATTCTGTGGTATTCCCATTTAGGACAATTGTTTTTAGGCAAACACGAAATAAAGTTACATACTTGTCTGAAATAAATCTCAAATCACGTGAACAAAGTGTGCACATTACTACTAATAATGGCGTTTCGTTAATCACATTTAACAAACTCATAGTTATATTGTCGAAAACAACTTTCGCGGTTTACGAAACAAATAACCAATCTTCTAAGCCTTTCGCAGTCGACTAAGGACGTTACGGAATTGAAGTGCGGTATGTATTAGTACCGTGAACCCCGTCTGGTAGTATACAAGTCTTTGGCATTTCCCATGGTCGCCTCTTACGACACCCACGGGATAAAATTATAATGGATTCTCTTACGAAACATTACACGGCAATTTAGATCTAATGAAAGTAATCAACCTACATCTATGAGAAAATTTTACAATAAATTATTTTAAGGTTATCACAATCGCAATACGTAATTTACATCAATTTTAAAAAGTTGCCAAATTTAAACGTCAAATTTATATTATCATATCATACGTAATAGACGTTTAACTAGAAGCTACAATGTATCAATATGGATGTTAGGAGAAATGGTTATTAAAGGTATACGCCCACAGGCTCTTGTACACATTAGACGGATCGTAACATAATGGTTTCTTAAATTTACGCGAACACTACACATTGATTAAAACTATTATTTACGGATTTTATCGCGTTTAATTACTACTTTAATTTATTTTTTTTACTATTCCGACGTTTCGGGTGCTTTACAGCACCCATGGTCACGGGAGGACTGAGATGTTTGACGTCCCAATGTCATAGTTAGTCCGGCTATCTTCAGTTTTGGAATATTAATTTTTGGTCCGATTTACGCACTGCAAGACTTCATGATACTGTTACGAGCTTAGTGCTCGTGACAATAAAAACTGCCGATTGAATTACCAAAATTGACACTTTAATTATTGAACACCAGTTAACACTTAAATCACACTAATAATTAATCACACTTAACACTTTATTTCACTCTGAAAGCTTCGCTCGTATCGCCAATTCAATACTGCCGCCCCGGTCGCGGCCCGAAACGGTTTTATATAGGCCTTTTCCACCGAAACATCTAGAAGTTTCCAGCAAATACTGGTCCCGACCGACTAGATGTAGAAAATTCGAGTGTGGAATTATCTAGAAAGCTTAGTTCCTCTTGTGGCGCGCAACAATACTATAAGCTCGTTTTGCTGAAATCGGACCAAAATTAATATTCAAAAACTGAAGGTAGCCGGACTAACTATGACATTAGGCCGTCAAACATCTTAGTCCGCTCCGTGACCATGGGTGCTGTAAAGCACCCGAAACGTTAGGATAATAAAAAAATAAATTAAAGTAGTAATTAAACGCGATAAAATCCATAAATAATAGTTTTATTCAACGGATCGTAACATATTTATTTTAGTATTTTTTACGATCCGTCTAATGTGGGTTTATATAGTTTTTTTATAAGGTAAGTGGATGCTATAGTCCATGGACATCTACATCCATCCTTACTTAATCAAAATCCAGATACGTTGAGACAAGTGTGTCCACTAATCTGCTGCGGATGGACCGTACGCGTCGGCTCGAACGGTAAAAAGTCTCGACTCGCTTGGGTGTGCGTATACTATACACTACGAGCACTTAACCCTATAAGTGCTCGTAGACTATACACTTCGTTGTTTCTCTGTGTGCCTTGTGTACTGCACTAGAGAATCTGATGATGTTTAATAGGGTGAAACGCACAAAGTTTTCTTCTATAGACATAATTTTAAAGCAAGAAATGATTATAAGTGGGTTTATAAGTACACCTGATTTAAAATTTTATACATATTATTTAGTAGTAAGTCAATCCAAGATTTTCTTTCAAACGTGTTTTATTTTAATATAATGAGCTTAAGATAAAAGAAACGATTTCTTTTTAAGTAATAATTAATTACTTGTCTCTAATATATTGTACTTAGAGAGTTTCAACATTTTGAAAGATAAAAATACATCAGACTTCTCAGCGAATCATTTACCTTCTGATTTCTTGTTAAAATATATTACTAAAATTCTTTTAAATTTTGG